GATGGCATAACACTGCCCGCAGCGCACGCAGCGGGCACCGGCGGAACACAAAGTCCCGCCCTTGTAAGCTCACGGCTGCTGCAGGGGCCTGCTGACATTGTACTCACATGCTGTTTTTGACATCAACACCGTCCGCTCAACGTACTCTCCCAGATGCGTGTTTGCATCATAAATACAATTCATCAACACGCCCTGTCTGCAGCATCACTGGAGTCTTTGATTACTGCTGTTCAATTGTTTTGTGTCCTGACTTATTGTCTTCACCTAACAGACATACTAAATGCAGTTGCATTGACATTCAGCGCTTGTATTTCCAAGAGTGTTTGCTTTTCAGTGAGACTGAAATAAAAAAAACGAAGGTGGAAACTGGTACAGTATGTTTAATTTCATTCATGGAAATTCATACAGACTGAACGATTACTCAACATGGAAACCTTGAACTCCCCCTGCTGGTCATTCTATACTAACTACACATTTGAGCCGCCCGCGAAGTCATCAGTTTTGGAGTAATCTTTAAATTGGTAAAAAGATATGTGAAAATTTAGTACAAAGAACGTTTATCAACAAATATACAATCATCAGAAGAATCTAGAACCACTGCAGATATTCGCCAACAAAGCAGACATTTAGTGATACATTTCCTCATTGGTAAAGATAAATAAATACACAACTTTAGGAATGGAAACGAGTCAGCGGTCATCCCAAGTATCGCATTTAAAACTACCAATAACGACCAACACCACTGAACTAATAGGAATGCCTGATTTTTTTGTGTACTCCAACATGTATAAAGATCGAGACACAAAGAACATCACAGTATTTGCGAGTTAAATATAAAAATAGTAACACGGGTACTAGCGTCCACATAACTTATCCAAGTCTCAAAATGTGTGTGAACACATCGTCGTCTTGAGTGTTTGGGGCTCTTGTAAGAAAGTTTTTATTTTGCTCATTAAAAACCACGGACTACGATGAGGTAAAATTCAATCGTCAAACTAGCGAATAGCTAAAATAATCTGTTGCGTGAGTGTTTACTTAGGAACCCCTTTTGATTCTTAAATATCAGTGGTAAAAATTAGTTGTCAGTACCTTGACGCTACTAGAACAGTTAACAAGAAGGCAAATCAACATCCACAGTGAATTGAAATGTCTAAACTCTAAGTTTCCTTTAAAAAAAAGAGACCTCACATTGAGCAATATGTACAATATCTACATTCAAATGGATGTGAAAAATTACAAAGTAATCCAGTTCTTCTGTAGAAACAGGTTTTTAAGATTCGTGTGTTTCAACAAGCCCTTTTTGAAAAGCAAAAGCAGCAGGTGTATGGAAAACATGACCTTGGTGAGAATTTGGCAACAACACAAAACATGAACGCAACTTGTGAGAAATTGCTACACAAAGGTTAAAAAGTGCAAATATCTAGCAACAACCTTGCATGTAACGTGAATGAGTAGTGAAATCAAAACAGTCCCCCTTGTCGAGTAATTCAACTGTTGCTGCCGCACCCTTTGGTCCTGCTTGTTGTTTGTTTCCTCAAGACATGGAAAGACAGCAGCAGTGGAACGAGGGCGCCCTCTGCTGGGCCAACATTGAATTTCACACAATGGCAGAAAAAAACAGGTGTTTCAACCTGACGCGAGAACCGAGGCGGAATTTCCGTTTGGAAACAGACCAAAGGAACATGTATTTAGCATTTCTGCACCGTACACATTACAAGGAGACCCGTGTGCATTAAAAAGTAAAAGGTAATAGCTGTTGAAAAGCAGCCTCCACTTGCACACCGAAACGGGAGCAGCACAGCGCGCTTTCTGGGTCCTCACGTGGCTGCGGCACAGCTTACCTCTCGCTGTTTCGTGTTATTGGTGCAGCAGGTCAGAGGGGTTATGCGGCTCGAAAAGGAGGGCGGGTCCTAAGTGCCATTGTCTGATGTCCCGGAGCAGTCTGGGGAGGCCACTTTGGGGGATTGCGGCTCATCTGGGCTCGGCGCTGGGGAGGAACCATCTTTGGGCCAGTGGAGTCGACTCAGACTTTGATGGAGTTCATCTAATTCGGATGGGAGAGGGATGCCCAGCTCCTGGTTGAGGGACAGAGCTTTGAAGCAGTCCTCCAGCTTCTGGAACGGTGGACTACAAAGGGAAGCGCAAAGGGGTTAGAGGTGAAAAAGTCCAACTCGATCATATGAACAACATGTGCCCCCTCTGCTCTTTTAAAGTTTCACATCGATCACATTCTCTGTTCGAGTCCACAACCGAGGTCATGATAGTTCACAAAATCTAAAGAAATAACTAGAAGTACTAGTGCAATTGGAACCAAAAAAAACCCCCAAAGCATTTTCATTCAAGAATTAAAATAAACATCAATGGGTAAAAACTAGTCCTTAAAAACTACCAATAACTGAAACTATACTTTATATTTAGAAAAGTAAAACTAACTGATGTATAATTTTAGTAAAAACATCATTTGTTTTGATCTTTGTCAATGAGTTTCATCCATGATTTTAAATGTTTTCATTTTGGAATTACTGTTTGGCGATACAGAAGAAAGAAGTTTCAAACACTCAAGAGGAAATTGCAACTTAGTTTACTTTTATGACACAACACAGTGATCTTTTTAATATATCCAATTTTCCGCACTATGAGCCGTTGCAGAGTATAAGGTGCGCCTTCAACGAATGACCAATTTTAAAAGAGTATTCATCTATAGGGCGCGCCACATTCTAAAGCGCATAGAATAGTTAGTTGCTGTGGTTGCGTTATGCATCCACTAGATG